GGAATAATTGTTTTATTAAATCCAACTAATTGGTAAAAAATATAAAGAATAAAAAACTTTTAGCTTGTTAAAGCTAGACTTCAATGCTTTTTTGCCGCCAAAAACCCCGCCCTTTTTACTACTAGTGGGCTATAACATATAGCCTAGTAATAGCTCAACCAATCAGAACGCAGCATTGATAATAGACCACTATTTGGATTTTACTATACTCTCAAAGAAAGCAAGGTATTTCTTTACCGTAGACAAATACAAGTTTATACAAAAGCTACCATTTTATTGACAAAACTGCAAGGCCTTCATGGCACGTGAAATGATGAGGCATGGTGTAAAGCATCTAAGCAAACTAAATATCATTTGTCTACTCAGTAAATAAAAAGTTATTTGAATGGATAATGCACCTTGTGAAGTGACATAAAATCACTGCTATCATTTTATTCGCAGAGTCTTTATTAGCAGATATCTACAGATACATATAATACATGTAGTAAACCTGCAGTTTATCCTTTCTTAATAGGCAAATATTTTTTAAATTCTGGATACCAGCTCATAAGAATACTTAATGAAAGTATGTCATTTATTATTGTTAGGTCACATTTTCAGGCAACTACTGCCCTGGAATACTACACATGTTAATTTAGTACTGATACTGTCCAGATAATGAAAACTTGTGATCAAGAATTAGTGGTTTTTTTTTTCTGTCCATGTAGATTCCTTAACTTTAAAACAAATTATGCAAAACCAGTGTGTGACCATTGATATTAGATAACTAAAATACTTTAATTGACTGCAAACCCCTGCAATTGATGTTAGGAATTTATGACTTATCGTTATATCTAAAACAAATAATATCATTAATTTATTCTTGAAAATTATCAAAAGCATCATGCAGCCTATTTATGATCTTCAGATAAGATAAAATTGTCAATAAAATTGAAACTATAATATTAATTCCTTAAAATTTTATGTTATCCTGCTATTCGCGGCATCTTATTTCGATCGTATTGGGGATAAGAGATTCCTCACCAGCCAGGTCACAGGAGGTCAAATTGAGGGTTTCATGCACTTCATATACCGTAAAATTCCGAAAATAAGCCCCTCCAAATATAAGCCCCCCAAACCGGTAACGCAAAAAACCCTCCGTTAAATCGCCCCTCCAAATATAAGCCCCCGGGGGCTTGTACTTGGAAAATTGCCCTCAAATACAAAGTAAAACAAAGCAAAAACGGTAAATTTACTTCCAACTATAAGGCTAGCCCAATCGATTTCGAAACGCAAATTTCCCCCCGTAGATAAGCCCCTCCGAATATAAGTCCCTCCAAAAATAAGCCCCTCAAAAAGGGCCTTTGAAAAATATAAGCCCCGGGGCTTATTTTCGGAATTTTACGGCACTTCAATTAGTCAGTGAATTAGTACACGGAAATCTCTACCCTTCCATATACCTGAACCCTGAAGAAGTACCCCTTTCGGGCGCGGCGCCTCTTCGTATAGTCCATTATGGGGGGTACCGCTCCCCCCCGACCATAGCACTCAAGGCGTATCGCAAAAGTCAAAAATTGAAAATAAATAGCCTTCGTGGTAGGCGTTCCAAAAGGAAGGGAAAGGGTATTTGAAGCGCGTGAGAAGCGCGAAGTACGCGCGAGGAGGGAGGAAAGGGAACGTGAGTACCTGCAAGGACGCTATTGTTTTCGAACGCCTGCTATGCTAGGCTAGAAAATGAAATAGGCTTCTTTCGAGAGTTCTCGCCAAAAACCTATCACTGCCGTTGCTATTTAGGAATACCTTTGATAAAAAATTAGCGCTTCATGAAATTAACGTAGTTAAGTCGACACGTTAATTTCTTGAAACGTTAATTTCCGCGCTGTTAATTAAGTGGAGTGTCAATGTCCGCGACCTTAATTTCTGTTATTTTGGATACGCTTCTGACATTCTTGAGACCAAGAGCCATAATGGGACTTGACACCTAAGAAAGAGGAGTACTTATTAATGAGGTTGGAGATCCGCCAGTAACAGTGAAACTGTATACAACCCTCGAAGTGGCCAGATTTCTTCGCTTGACCCTCTTCGTACGATCGATAGCGAAAAAAACCAGGAACAAAGTTTCCATCTCAGGTTACACGTTTAACTTTGTTTCTATAGAGTACTAAAGTGATGACGTCATAAAAATGAAATTTCTGAAATTATGGGATTTGTCAGGATATTCTGAAAGAACAATGTCCAAGAGGACTACTTACCAAAAATGAGAATTTCGGGGCAAATCGTTTCTGAGATGTTTGCCGGTTATACTCAGAAAACTCCATACAAACCCTTCTAATATTTTTGGGGTCGACCCGAAAAAATTTAGAAGGGTTTGTATGGAGTTTTCTAAGCATAACTGGGCTACGATCTCAGAGACAATTTGCCCCGAAATGCTCATTTCCGGCAAGTAGGCCTCTTGGACATTGTTCTTTCAGAATATCCTGACAAATCCCATAATTTCAGAATTTTCATTTTTATGATGTCACACTTTAGTACTCTATTGTCTCAGCAAGTTTCAAGTAGTTAAGACAGGTCTTGTTAAGAGTAGAGTTTAAAAGATCACAATTTACACTTACTTCTTTAATTGTCACGAGCGCTGTTCCACACATGACGTAACATTTTTGAAAATGCACCAGTGTGCTTTTGTCCAAAAATGCCCCGCACCAACGTCCACTACCTTATCCCCTCCCCTCCAAACGGCAAGTTGACGTTAAGTGGGGGAAAGCTGAATAGTCAATATGTCGACGGCCCCTCACGGCTGCACTGGTCTGTCTGGTCTGGCCGTTAGTTCTGATTAATAATAAGCGACCTTACACTTCGTACGTGTTGCATGGAATCCCAGAATCTTATAGGCCAATTCCGAGTTCCAAAACCCTCACTTTCAAAATGAGGCCAAGTGCACAGCCTCTCTTGTGGAAACGAGTGTTATTTGCACGAGAATATCATTTTGATATCAAAGGCTTAGCACTTAACCTCGTTTTGATACAGAGGCTCGGGCGGAACCCGGAAATGGCCTATTGTTTGACGGGAGCCGGTTTCCGGAATCTCCTCAACCTCGTTCTCGTTCATTTCCCAGCCAGCACCTTGCCAGCGCGTGCATTTATTTGCCGGTGATTTAATGAGCCTCTCTCTGGGTACCTGCGGACGTCGTTTTCGTCGTGCGTTTCCATCATATCGTGGGTTTTTCAAGAAATCGTCGCATATCAAGAATTGTTTTGCGTGGTAACACTACTGAGCGAGCTCGAGCGACCACGACAACGACGAAGGAAACGAGGACATATAAAGAGCAACAGGTTTCCAATCAAAGTAGATTCCCAAGGGTTACCGTTTGTTTCAATAGGTGTAAAAAGTTCCACGTACTTAAAGAACGAAGATGTATTCGCCCAAAATGTTTTTCTTGTTCACCAGCAAACTATACTTGAAGTGAACGAAATTTTCGTGCCATTTCATTGCTTAAGTTCGTATCGAAACGACTTGTGTTGAAACCGGTTTCCAGTTCCCAAGAGGAGATTAACACAAAAGGGTCAGTTTTAACCAATGGGCAAGGGATCTCCAGATACATTTACAAGGCTTACTTAACTGGGACAACCAAACTAACAAACCAAATATATTATGAAACATGAGTAAGAAAGACTTAAGCCTTTGCGGATTTCACGGACCGGCTTTCTTTGACCTCTGAATCAGACTCTGATGATTTAAACGTTTTATTCGTTGTTTATCAAAATAAGGTTATACAGCAAAATCAGTAAACGCTTTCAAGTTGTAAAAAACATGCGGACAACTGTGTATCGCCATCTATCCGTAATAGGCCTTCGCGTTGTCCTCCAGTCCGCGATCCATTTCTCGTATTCTTCAGGCTTTTCTTCAAAAGCCACATGATGCTTTTTTTCCTGGATGCTTCTCTTTTGTACGAATCGGCGACGTGATCCTGCATCACTGTGAAACAATCACTAAAAGCTTACTGGTGTTGATGGGATCATAAAAAACGATTATATATATTCTAAATAACAAACAAGTTAAAATGCTAGTTCATCCCTGTGGGTTCTACTTTTTGGCGGTTTTGGGTGCCGCCTAGGATCTTAAACCCTGAGCCTATTTAAAAATGAGACGAACGAAAACTGATGCCCTATCTAAGACCCAAATCTGGAAAGTGAGACCCAATTAAAGCAAGGGAAAAACAGAAACTAAGAATTTAACTGACACAAATCTTCTTTTAATCGCTTTCCTAAACTGCAACGTAACGTTCAGTTTTAACAGCGGATTTGTTTCTCATGTAGCTGGGCATTTACGCACGTGAACTTTAGCTGATATAATAACGCAACCTCGTCCCCAGGTCGCTTTTCCCTGGCTTTGGAGGTGGGGCCTATCTTAATAAGGATCACACCGGGAACACAGTGGCTACAAGAGCAAAATGATACCCAGGGTTTTAAATGCCAATGCAGACCCTCAAAAAGTCATCTAGCCCATTTATGGGAGTACCCCCCGGGGGTACTGCCTTATGTAAGCTATATAGGCATGTGCCGCCCCACCGGGTAGGGTTTTTGCGAAGTTTTGGTCTGAAAACGGGTATTCACTTTGCCCATTTTAGTCTGGAATCGGGTGTGGTTTTCGAGGGAACTACAGGAGTGTACGGAAGGTATTTATCGTTTCAATTCCAAGTGAGTATTAAAGAAAGAAAGAGAAATATGCGGACTCGAAATGGATTTCAAGAATTTGTTTGTTTGCGCTCCAATCTAAGTAATAACTACATAATCGGAAATGTGGGATCAGGCCCCCTTTTCCTCGGACCCTTTTCCAAACCCTGGACTAATGTTTAGGCCTCACTTTGCTACTTACATACTTACCCATAGTCAATAGCTAGTGACATAATCAAAGACAAGACAATCATCACCCTGATCACAGCAAATATTTTAGAATGGCTCATCTTTTCTTTTCCTCCAATGCTGAGAAAGAAAAGTACAGTCAAGAGAGAATTAGATTATTCTCGGCTTGGTACAATTGACACTTGAGGCTCCCGCTAACTCGAACCAAAAATCGATTTCCTCGTGATTTCCTTTAATACATTTACAATAATTTTACCCTCGATAACTCGAACCTTCCACTAATTCAAAGTAATTTTTGTTTCCCTTCAGGTCATTTCTAAATTTTGCCCTCGATAACTTGAAGTTGAACCATGTTTTGTGTAAGTGACGAGTCGAAAAAAAGCAGTGTACCGCAGACCGAAACTGATTGACGTGTTGTAGACATATGGTTTGTTTATGGATAAATTTACAGAATTTGATGCCCAAGTTATAGAATAGTAGGAAGACGTGCGCCTTTGATAATATCCAGTCAGATTATTTTCAGTTCGAACGGATGAACAAAGAGGTCAAAATACGGAAGGTCAGAAAACGGGTTAGCAAAACGGGTCATCAAAATCCGTGATAAACTGCAACTGTACAGGCATTTTTTCATAACCTTGCGTCAATCAAAAAACAACGGAAATGTCAATCAAACTAGTGCACGAAACAACTAACATTGAAGAAAAATATAATAAGTCCAGGCCGCGATCTTGGCTCGAATTTGCGCCAAATCAACTAGTGTAGCCTTCATGCTCTCCGCCAGTTAACGCTGTCGTAAGAAACGCATGGTTAAAGGTTAAAGGCCGTGTTTAAAAGAGACCCCTTGCTGGAGCTATTTTGGAATTTACACTTAACTGAGTAAATCTAGTTAAATTCAATGTGCTACAAAGCACAATGCTGATGAACACCCACTACTGGAAAAGAACCATGTTACTTTACACAGTTCTCTTCCTTGATTATTTGGTTTTCAGTGAGACTAAAGTCAGTTACATAGATACTCCCTCCTTCGAATTCCCCCGCCGCCTCTTCTGTGTCGTAAAGACGCCCAGTATGCCTTAGGCTACGGCTCCGTGCGGCTGTTAAAAGAGGCAGAATCTACACGTCTTGCTTCAAATTGCATTATAAAACATTTTTGCTATTGGGCTCAATGTTCGTTATAAAAAGCGAAAATCATTTGTACTCACCGACTGTTGAGAGATCCAGCTAAAGTCAAGGTTTCCACCTATTCCCTTAATCCAACGAGATGAAAGCGGTGCGGTGCATGCAATCATGTAAAACAGGGTGGCAAAGGGTTTTCATTGACGCGTGATGTGACCATTATCAGCGTGATGCGTGATCGCGCGTGGCAGCGTGATGCGTGATTTACTATTAGTCAACTTACGCAACAGGACGAGAGAGGGAAGAAGACTGTATGTCCTAGTATGAATTTCAATTAACAAATAGATTCCATGCTGCCGTGCGTCTATTCAGTAATAAATCACAGATGAGGTCAAAATGTGGTAAAAACAAAGAAGGTGGAACACAGCCTTTTTTGAGTCCCAAACACTACTTTTCGCCTCTGCTTATTCTTTTCTTCTTTATCTTACTTGTCAGTTTCTCTGAAAAGTCTTCCAACTTCTTCACTTGCTAAAGGAGAATAATTACGAAAAAATTTTGCAAAACTGCTAGTCTTTCGTAGCGATGACACACTATGCCCTGTAAAAATTTCTTGTAGGTTAGACATTCTCAAGTTGGCGAGAACTCTTTTTGTCTCGCGTTCACGTGCTTAATCCGAATAATCTCAAAGATCTTTTCAAAACCGCGCGCCATGTTGTACGAAACAAAGAAAACAAGTTTTCCTGTGACGTCATCCATGTATCTGTACTCAAATAGATCATGGGCAACGACCAATCACAGCGCGCGTAGCATTCACATCATTGTATGATTACGATTGATTCGCATGTCAACTTTCAGTGTCGTTTGTCGCCATTTCATCTTGTCTTTTGTCGCTGTATTAAGGCCACGCCGCGTGTCGCAATTTTACATAATTTTCCATAAGCGTTGTCACACTTCAGAGTGGAAATTAAAATGTTCCTGGTTCCTGAAGTTGTTTTGTAATTATGGCGCTGCAATTCATGATATATGTATGTACGATGTTCCAATGTCAATAAGGCTGGCTAAGAATTATTTAAATTGCCAACACGTGATTTCCCTCCAATCACGCCCAGCACCGAGAATTTGAATCGAAACTTTCCCAAGCAGCCCCTCCTCCTCGAAAATCTACGATATTTCGGTAACTGGCCAATGACGTCACAGGAAATGAGCTCGCGACCTTATATCATTTCTAACACATCACAGTCAAGGCTTTCAAAAATGTCCTTACATGTAAAGATCTCGCTGCGCTCGCTAGGCAGGGAAACTCGTGAGGTCGACTTGTAGGAAGTCTAATCACAGTCTTTTCTCCGAATCCTCCAGCTCAGGTTGATTGGTGAGATTCTTTCAACGCAGTAATTTGGCAAAACGAAGTTTCTTTTTCTCAAGGAAACTGAACCTGCAAGGGATCCCATTGTTCAAGGTGATTCCCCGGGGGTGACCAAAGTCTTTTCTCAGAATCCTCGAACTTCCGTTTTGTCATTTCAGTTTCTAATCGATCAAGGTGTTCTAGATATTAAGTGGCGAGGGTCTTAAATCAAGATCTGCGGTCACAGTGGCTTCGCAAAGGAGAGGAATTTTACCCAGTGAAAATCCAGCCAGATTCAATTGTGAAAGGTGACCGGAAGTTGATCAAGGTAAACAAATCCAATTCCCCAAAACCGTGAGTTATGGATTTACAATGCGATAGATCTTATGGTTCTTGTCAATCTTCTGACTTGGAATCTGAACAACTGGAAAACTTCCATGTTCAAAGAAACAGTGAAAGTTATGAGGAAAGATCATGCTGCAACATCCTTGCATCGGGAAAACTATTTAGCTGCTTAACCAAAGCCACTGGGCTGTGGAACCCTCGAAAAAGGCGCTATGCTATTCTTTGTGGTGTCTTTGTTCTCTTAAACATTTCATCTCTGGTAGCAGAAATCCTAATTCCAAGCATTTGTGGGCCCTATCTGGGTCGTTGCGTGACGCAAAAAAGCCGCGTGACAAATACGACAAATGATGGAAGTGAATCAAAAAGTCCTAAGATGTATGGAATAATTTATGGATTCAATGCGTGGAACGCTTTCTCTGACGTAATGACATATATTCTTTTAATCTATACCTTGTGGCGCGTACAACGACAAATGCCCTTGCTTTGCCCTGCCTCAGCGGAAGCGAAAGTGTCATCATGCGAGTGGCTATTTATTAATGTCATGTTCATTTTATGCTCATGATCAGTTGCTATAACTGTTGCAACTTCATTACGGGTATCGATTTCTAAATCTAGCAAAATGAAGTTTGATAGTGCGTTTGGCTTGACTGTTTTAATTGTCTATTTGACGGCACTGATATGTAGTTGCATGTTTGCTGTGCTCACATGTGCATTGCGCAGTACAGTTGATGTAAGTTTCCAGGAAATTTGTTCCATGAGTCACGCAAGCCTCAATGACATCATCGCCGTTCATCGAAAGTTGAATGATCAAATAGCAACAGCTTCCCACATTCTGACACCATGGTTTCTCGTTCATTGGCTGATGTTTGGCGCTTATTGTTTTGGAGTATTTGCCTTTGACTCTTTGCAATTTCAAGTTCTGACTCATAAGTTTAGTAGCGCACACCTCACGTTCCAATCTGTTACTTTTTTCCTAAACTTTGCATTGTTTTTGGTACCGTGTGTTTTTGCGTCAAGGGTGACTTGGAGATGCGAAGATATTTTGTTCAAATTAAACAACATGAGCCCAAGAGACTGGAACGAAGGGCACCCTTTTCATGAACGCGCCAACGTGAATACATTTCTGTTTTATGCGGAGCGGAGTAGATGCGGATTTCGGATAAGAAACCTAACATTTGGATCCAGTGGAACCTGGATTTCAGTGATACTAGGTCTACTTAGTCTTGGAATACGAATTATTCAATATATCACCTGAATTGATTGGCACGCAACCCCACCCTCCCCCACCTGCCCGGGTGGAGATCACGCTGGATGCAGTATGTCGAGTTCCCGGGGGGGTACTCCCATACATTACCTATACGGGTCTGGCCGCCCAACGGGCTCCTGATTTAGAACGGGGTATCCATTTCAGAGGCGTTTTCTAGAACGGGGTATAAAAATTGTGGATCACGGCTTTATCTTTTGCTTAAAATTGTTGCCGATTATGAAGAAGCATTTATTTGATGTATAAGTCGAACAAATAAAGAAATATGTTTTTTAAAAAACAGGGCTAATTCAATTTAAAAACTTTCTAGAACGAAGTATAAAAAATTGGCCCACTTCTAGAACGGGGTATCAGTTTTAGGGCGAATTCTGGAACGGGGTATGAAAAATTGGCCCTTTTCTAGAACGGGGTATCAATTTTAGGGGAATTATTTTTAGAAAGGGGTGCCAATTTGGAGTCCCGGGCGGCACATACCCACCCAGAAAATACCCAAGTGCACCCCCCCGGGGTCGAGTTCTAGTGATGCAAACAGTAGTTCAAGATCAGTAGAATCAATTAGAATTAGAATTAATCAATCAATCAATCAATCTTTTATTTCACTCTACAAATTGTGTCAGTTACAAATGTCCTTTTTCACAACAGCATAGGAAGACTAGAGTAGGAGCTCTCGACAAACCCTTTTGGGCTTAACAAGGAGAGCCCTTGCTGTGAAGTATAAAATGTTTAACACATAATCAACATGTGAATGGCTGTACTTGTGTCAATTAGATAATTACATCGTCGCTTTACCAAAAGGAGTTCGCTCAGCCTTGGTGGTGGCCGTGGGGAAGGTCCCCATACAAAAGAGGCGGGGATGCTCTTACGAAAATGAGAATTACACCCCCAAAGGAGACCCGTTTGTGCGTGGCTTAGGCTTTATTTGACCCCTAGGAGACCATACTCTAACAAAGTACCGAATTTCCTCGAATAATAGCCGTCCCTCGATTAATCGCGCACCCCCCCACGAATAATCGCCCCTTTTAGACGGAGACATTTAAAATAATCCCCCTTCCTCCAATAATCGCCCAGGCTATTATTCGAGGAAATACAGTGTGACGCCATTTTTTTTCATATATATTGCTGGTTCACAAGACGTCATAAAAATTCAAGCTGAAGAAAATATGGATCCTTCTAAGCTTTTAAATGACATTGCAGCTAAAAAGGCATGAGGCGTCAAACTGACGGACTACCTTTCGTCAACTGCGAAGCTTAAGAATTTCGCCAAACTTGCAGTTTGCTTCCGAAGTGAGGCAGGAAGTTGTTCGAGATATCTGAAAATCATTTTTAAGTAAGTCAAGATACACAAATTACATGCCTTTATAAAAAAAATTTTGGCACAGAAATGTGTATAAAGTTTGAGACTGAAGAGATTTCGATTACTGGACTTGCAGCACGAGTGATTCGAAAGACGAAGATCGAGGAAAAGGTACGGTCGTTTGCTTTGCGTGTTAGCCTGTTCCAGGCTCCGAGATAGTCGGGTCCGCTGAATTGAGAAAGCACAAACACGAAAATATAACCGAAGGAAACTGGGGAGAGCAGCGGCGGCAGAGGCTCTCTCTCCCTTCCTTTTTCCTTTTTCCCGCCCCGCCAACTTTTTACTTGCCTTTTACTTTCGCTTCTTCCCCACTCGGCTAAGAGCCTGGAACAGGCTAGTTGCGTGTAGACGAAGCGATTTGGACTGAGCGATAGATTGTCAACAAGGAGAAGCAAAACGCGGTTTGTAACTGTTCATTATTCTTCTTTTTGTTTTGTTTGGAAGAGTAGGTTTTTTAATTCTTGTTTCAGTGTATTGCGTGTTATTGCTTTTCATGTGATACCGTAAAATTCCTCAAATAAGCCCCTCCAAATATAAACCCCCCTCCCGGGGTTTGTACTTGGAAATTGCCCTCAAATGCAAAGTAAAGCAAAGAAAAGCGGTAAATATCCTTCCAAGAATAAGGCTAGCCCAATCGATTTTGAAACGCAAATTTCCCTCCGTACATACGCCCCTCCAAAAAGAAGCCCCTCAAAAAAGGCCTTTGAAAAATATAAGCCCCGGGGCTTATTTTCGGAATTTTACGGTAATTTATTAAAGCTTATGTTGCGATGTTGTATATGAATTATCCTCGGTGTGGAGATTGTGCATTTTCAGCAAGTTTTGTGAATGAGTGTACTGCTGGAGAAGGTGTGGAATTCACTGTACATAAGGAAAGTTTGTAGAGCAAATAAAGGAAGTGGAACTGACACCTCGTCGTGCGCAAATTTATTTATGACAGAAAAGATAATCGAAACGTGGATCCAGGTTCTTCATAACAAAAATTGAAACATGATATTGGCGGAGATGACCCCTCGTACTAGCAGACTTCCGGTGAACTGAGGTAAGACGTCTGTTACTCATAAGGAGAAAAGCAAGGGTGTTTTCACGGAAGGGTATCCGGAAAATATAATTTCTTACTATTCCTCCGCATTTGCGACGCCGAAGTGCACGCTGAAATAGCGTCTTGTTTGACCTTCGATCGTTGTTGCCCGCACTCCGTAACCTTTTCTTATTACTAGCATTAGTTCTTACAGAGGGATTGCGTGACGTAAGCACACAAGGCATTTTGCAACCCACTATTTCTTATTACGTCGTGGTAAGCGAGCCTCCTTAAATCAAGAACTTAGTGTTGTGATTTTGCAAAGGAAAGTTCTTAACCCAGTGAAAACCAGCAAGGAAACAAGAAGAGTTTGACCTCGAGCAAGGATGACGGAAGTTGCTCTTTGAATCACCGTAAAACTGCATACGTAAAACCCCTGTGAAATGGAAACACGTCCCTTGTTGTCACCTTTTTGCGAAGATAACTCACTGGATCCTCTCTCCTGTGGGCCAGATGGCGTTCATTTCCCAACACTTGATGGACCTTTTGATCATGATGTTGAATCTGGAGCAAGAAAAAGTTTAGATGTTGAAACTGAAAGTCGCGAGAACCAAAGATCATCATGCTACAACATCCTGGTTTCCGGAATGCTGTTTAGCTCCATAACTAAAGCCACCGGGCTGTGGAATCCACGGAAAAGCCCCTATACTATTCTTTGTGCCTTTTTTGTCGCTTTAAACTTCCTGTCTCTGGTAGCTGAAATTATAATTCCAAGCGTTTGCGGGCCCTTTGTAGATCGTTGTGTGACACAAAAAAGCCGCGCGACAAATGTGACAAGCAATAATGACAATGCCAGTGAATCCAATGCTGCCAAGATCTACGAAATAACATTGGCATTCGATGCGTGGAACGCTTTATCTGACACAATGACATACATTCTTTTAATCCACACCTTATGCCGCGTACAACAACAAATGCCCTTGCTTTCTCTTGCCTCAGCGAAAGCGAAAGTGTCACGACGCGAGTGGTTGTTTATTAACGTGATGTTCATTATTTGCTCAACTACTATAACTATTGCAAGCGCACTTCGAATATCGATTGTCGAATCCAGCAGAATGAGGTTTTACGGAACGTTCGGTTCGGGTGTTTTAATTGTTTACCTGACAGCATTCATATGTACTTGCGTGTTTGTAGTGTTGACATGTGCGATGAGTAGTTTAGTCGATGTATGTTTCAATGAAATTTGTTCTATGAGTCACGCAACACTTAATAAGATCATCGCCTTACATCAGAAGTTGTGTGGCCAACTTTCGACCGCCTCCCAAATTTTAGCACCATGGTTTCTTGTTCACTGGCTAATGTTTGGTGCTAACTGTATTGCAGTATTTGCCTTCGATTCCATGCATTTTGAATTTTTAACTCATAAGTTTAGTGGTGCACCTACTGTGTTTATGGCGGTAGCTTTTGTCCTTAATTTTGCTTTATTTTTGGTACCGTGTGTTTTTGCGTCAAGGGTGACTTGGAAGTGCGAAGCTCTCCTGTTCAAACCGAACAACATGACCGCGAGAGACTGGAACGAGGAGCACCCTTTTTGTGAACGCACCAATGTGAATGCATTTCTATTTTATGCTGAACGGAGTAAGTGTGGATTTCAGCGCTGCTTGGTCTTCTTGGTCTTGGAATACGATTTGTGCAGTACATCAACTGAAATGTTTAGCACAATGAAATGTTTGGCACACAGAAGGTCACGGATACGCCATATTTTCCCACTTGCACCAACTCTTGGGCAAAACATGGAAAATTTAGACCCCTTCTCCCCCGCCCAAATAAAGGAAGTTGGCGCGTTTTGGCGTTCGCGTAACCTGCGAATACAGCCTTCTCTCCTCTCTCCTGAGGGGCGAGGAGCAAGAAGTGACATCTGTATTCGCAGGTTAGCGTTCGTGCGGTTTCATGGTGGATGTGGGTCTGCTGTTCCATTTTCCTCTGTCCAGGATTGTAGTGCTGCGCTCTCTTCCACAAGATATACTCCGCGTTTGACTGACCCCGACTGCAAATCTATGAAAACATAGACATCTGTGGTGAAAATGAAACTATAATAAAATTAAGCAAAATGGCCGTCTTGTGTAAAGATCCGGCATCACTCCGGCGGGGGTTTGTTCCTGGGCATGCGGTCTTGAAGCTCTTAACATGTGCATCGGCTCCTGACATGTCTTCAAAATTCTCTCTTCCACACCTTGTTGTTCGGAGGCTGGAACAGTTACGGAAAGAGCTCTTTCCCCGTTTACTCAGCAAGCACTATGGCGTGTTATTGCACAAACAGTAGTTTAAGATGAAGTCAGGCTGCGGTTGGATTTAGACTGAATTTTTAGAATTTTAATTTAAAAAAAACGTGAAATGAAGATGATAATAAAGGCTGTGGGGTGTAGTTTTTGCGGAAAAGGCGCGAGAACAAAAGACATCGTACACAGTCTTGTAACTGTGAGTAGCTTGTGGATCACTAAACAATAGACAGCGAAATTTTCTATTTGACAGCATGAAAAAAGTTTGATTCAGTAAGGTTCCCATACGATATGTTTAGGTATCGGATTTGCTTGAGAACAGAGATTTTCAGCAGTCTTCTGGATTTGGATTTGGATTCTCCTGGACTCATTTTTTGTAAGCGATATAGGAAATGAGAAACTAGCATTCAATTTCTTGTTTTTGGCAGGAATGGGACTCTTACAGTTCTCACATTATGTAGCTGAGACATGTGAAATGCTACCAATCTGGTTGCATTGATTCTCACTAGATACCTGAAGTTAAAACGTAAGAGTAAAAGCTTAAACAATTAAAATATTAAAAATTGATTCTGGTGGTCCGTTTTCAACTCGCGGTCCTAGTAGTAAAATTTTAGAGGCAAAGTTTGTCGTTGAATAGCCACGAGTAAGAGCCTGTACTTTACTCAAGGCCATTGTATTTTACTGAAGTTCAAAGTTCGGTTTTTCTCCCTCCTCCGCCTGAGAAGAAAATGCTGTACATTGACTGTCCTGTGCTCATCCCGCAGTGCTAATGTATGATAATTATTCCAAAAACTACTGACGTCACCGGTCTATCCGAAGCCTTGTTCGAGGGTCTATCGGTGGCCATGTTGTACGCCATCTTTGTGGAGTATTATTTCAGGAAAAAAGTGTCATGATTCGTTCAAGATGCCAAAGGAAAAGCATGAAAATAATGACGTTCGAAGAAGTTATACTCTAATGAGCCCAGAGGATGTAGCTAATGGCAAGAAGTCAAAATGGACCGAACTGGAAATTACGGCTACGATCCGTAATTTGAGCCCGACACTTTGGCAGCTCGATTTTTTGACTGCGTTGTTTTTGAACGACAATAATCTAACGAAGATTCCCCCAGAGATCTCCAGGCTTGCTCAACTCAAGCATTTAGATTTATCATCGAACAAACTTAGAAGTTTGCCCAGTGAACTTGGAGATCTGGTCACATTACGTGAACTACTTCTTTGCAATAATAACCTGAGAATTTTACCGAACGAACTGGGAAAACTTTTCCAGTTACAAACCCTTGGATTGCAAGGAAATCCGTTACCACAGGATATATTAAGTATAAATGGGGAACAAAATGGAACAGCTAAGCTACTCTCCCTTATGCTGGACAATTTAACTGGTAAGTTTAACGTAACCGTGCACACGAAAATGAAAGTTTGTGGTGTCAGTTCTAATTTAACTCGTGGTGACAGTGAGCTCATGTTTTGCTTTCCTCTCGCTTATGTAGCCTTTCTGTTGTATTAGATAACTCTTGATTCATTCATATAACATGTTTTTAGCTTTCTTTTTATATAGCACATGACGCTGAGCATCGTTTGCTTTGCGAGTGGTGTTTTTCTTTGTGTTTTGCACGAGGTTCATTCGCATAATAAACTCCACATCATATTGGTCAGTGTTCGTCTCATACAAGTCATAGTTCGATTTCTCGTTCCTTTTTTCCTTATCATTATTTCCTCACGCAGTTTTTTAATTAGTAAGTGAATTGTGGCTTTCCTTTGGTATAATTTTGTCCGCATTTACCATCGGGCTCGAGAGAACTCTGTGTATCCATCGACTAGTACAAGGGTTCTTTTCTTTTCTACTTCAACGAACAATAACCAATGATCTATAACCGCCAAGTCGTATTCGAAAATCTCACCCAAACCGCATCGAATTACATTGTTTGAGTCGTTAAAATTAATACAGAACTGCCACTGTGCAATCAATTATTTTTTTCCAATTCTATAATCGTATCTTTATACGTGATTTTGGCACTTTTAGTACATGTATAATAACTTCTTTCCCGGAAGTGGTTTGGGTGCTAATTTCCATGCTTTTCTTTTTCATCTGTTTGCTCAACGCCATTATTTTCTTTTTAAGATCGGTACTATTCGCTCACATTTTAAAATATGCCTCAGGAGCTTTATTATTGATGGAAGTTAATGAAGTTTATGGGCAAGACCACTTTAAAATTAGCTTGTTCCAGGCATTAAATTGCAAGTTAGCTGTTAACATCATCCTAATGATTTTGTGCATGTGCCGTGAGTGATAATCTCAGGCCTGTTGACAGCCGAAAGCACCTCTCTATAGTTCTGCAAATAATTTCAAGCAGTCATATTTTTAATTCAGTTTAGAATAAGCTTGGCTGAGGCAGAATATGACCTCAGTTACAGTGATGTTGAAAACTATTAGAATACAACCACATGAACTAAAATAACTTTCATTAGCCACACTAATTACTTATTTGTTTAGATACTGGCAAACATGATTTCTGTAGACTTACATCTCTTAGTGTTGTTCTCTAACTTAGCTGAATGATGTTGACTGAGGTTGAAAGACTGCATGTACATTGTATTTCAAACTCACAAAACAACATCGCTCAACCAAATAAGTGCATAATTTTGTTGGTTCTTACTATGTGGAGTGATATTTAATCATGATGCTCTTATTAAACCCTTTTTGTACTGTTATTCATTTCAGTAAATTTTTAGTTTAGTTTCAACACTTGGTTTTGTTTACATGTACCATCTACTTTGCAAAATTTAAGCCCCCGTTAGCTTTCTGCTTAATCCAGCTTTGAACTGTGTCCTATATTTAAGAAGCTTGATATTGTTAATGAGCAAAGTCCGTAAACTATATCCAACCAATTTATTATATTCCTTTGTTTTGGAAGTCTGTCATTCTCTTTAAATTTTCTTGAGGTTTTAAACAGTAGCAAACTGTAGTGATTGTTTTATTTCAAAAATTGTTGTTTAAGGAAAGTGCAGAGTAAACTTGGCATTGATAAACTGACAAATTGCCAGGTTTTTACAAGTAGCTTTGTTGGTTTCTTAATCCATCAGCATGTTCAACCAATATAACACAGAGGACATAAATAACAAATTATTATACAGGTGTAATAATTATGTATACCATGTAGCCATTGTCTATGTTGTGGTTCAATTTTATCCTTGGTTTAATTTTTAATTTTCCTTTATTTTTGGGTATGGTAATGTATAATAATGAGTTTCTAACAAAGGAAAATAAAATTTAAACTAAGGACAAAATTGAACCAAAACAACTACAACGTCTTATGTGAAGACATGTATATTATGTATATAGCTATATCATTTTCATTTTTCATGTGCACGCAACAATCCCGAAAGGTAATATGGGATATGATCAATACATTGTTCCTGACACTGTCACTGTCAAATCTACTTTTGTTGCTTTCTTTTAGCACTTGCAAACATGCGTCAATGGCCACTCGTGCCATTCTTTCAATTTTCTTTGAAGAACAGTGAACTCAAAACCACCCACAATACCTTTCAGGATCGTCACATGCACTTTTCCCGACAACCATCTTCGAGATGGCTGTATACCTTTAGCAACTATTGGATTCACCTTTCACATGGTCTGATGCAGATCGAGGAGAGTGTTATTGGCCAAGATGGATAACACTCTCCAGGTTCTGCATAATTTTTCAGATTATACAAACGCCTGTGTGTTTCAGGGAAACTGCCCACCTACCCCTCCCCCAAGCCGACATTATTCTTTTAAACATGCTTACATTGATCGATGTTGAGTTCCTGTCCTCATTTGTCTGTTCGTCGGAAAATTCAGGATATAAAAGGATGTTCATTATAGCAGTTAGTCATCGAATAGCAGTGTTATTCATTGAGTTGTATTTTTCTATTCTTGCCATGTTTTTAGGTAAAAGTTTGGTTATTTCTTCTTTGCAAAAACTGTGAAATTTTCCGCCATTTTCTCTAGCTCTACCAAAACAGCTGTGCTAATGGAACCTTGTCACTAGTGCTTCTTGTTTGCCATCCCTGTTATTGGCAATATTCTGTACTATTGTATTATATCACAAAGTTCTTCCAAATTTGGTGAACAGAGTGGTTTAGTAATTACGAGATGCTTCTATCAATCTAATAAGCATCTGACAATGCCACAATTTACTGATTTATGATGATGTGAGTCATATGCTAAGTATTGAATAGTGTGCTTAGGTTTCCTGTAAACACTTAATCTGAATCTACTGTTAGTTTATACCTATCATCAGTAAATGGGTGTGTGGAGGGTGCCTGAACAAACTGAATGTGCCACAACTGAGCGTGAAAGGTAACCTTGATAACTCTTTGTGGCAACTGCTAAGCACTGTCAAACTGAGAACGTCAGGGTAGTGTTTTGTAGATAATTATCAAGACATGTCCTGGGGGTGAAAGGGCTGGGAGTGAAATGGCTTAAATGACCTTATGTGAAAAGCAATGTGAATGAAGTGAATTGACCTCAATGAGAGTGCTGTTTAATTACTGAAACCCTGCAAGTGCTCAAAGACTGCCCTGCTCTGAGACTGAGTGCCTGCGTTGTCTTGTGTTTACATGTACCTGGCCTCAAATTACATGTTGGCACATACATGTATATGTATAGAAATAAATCTGTCGTTAAAACGAATGGTGGTGTTTTTCTCTTTTCCGTTGAGAAATGGATTGTTAATCATTGGAAAGATGGTCCTCTTGACACAGGTATACATGTCTGTAAGTAAGGAACCAGGGGCCATTTGGGTTTGCTATTGCACAGCCCTATCTTCAATCCCCTTAGTGATGGAAAATTTATGGCCAAAATTTTTCTTTATGAAAAATACAGTAATGGTTAAAAATTGATTTGAGTTAGTTACAGTCACCACATTTACTTGTATGTAATTTTGGTTTCTTAATATGTTGTTTTTTTTGTCCTACTTCAGTGTGTCCTCGACCACCAGAAAGGCAGTGGATATCATTACAACCAGACAGAACGAGAAATCCATCATGTAAGGGTCGTTAAAGTCAAATTAATGTATTCTTTATTTGTTTTGAAATTTGTCTCTGTAGCATTTTATGACAGGATTAAGCTCGATAAAACTTTAACACACCACACTACAGGTGTAAGTTTCTATAGGACCCTCTTCTAAAACTCAGCTTCCTCACAAATAAATGAAGTAATGCTTGTACCGGTATATAGTAGGGCATGAATTTTGGCTTTTAGTTGCTAAAAGTATCTATTTTCAGGTTGTAGCAATAGTAGTTTTTTTCCAAAAGTTTTGTAATTAAACAAGACAAGCTCTTGACAAGTTACTTTATGATTAAAAAATATATATCTCCTTGGTTAAAACTATGTATTAGATGTAGTAACTACATACCATATTTTGCTATGAGTTGTATAATTCTACTTATCACAACAAGAAAATCATCTTCACTTACATGTTTACACAGTTCGTAAGTTTGAGATCACTAATCAACAACCTTTACAAAACCACATATTATTTTCTATTAGCATTATATACATTTACAAGTTTCAAACAAAAAATTTTCCTTTATGGACCCCTTTATGAAGTATCACATATACATGCAGATGTATAATAATATTCTGTCAAAATTCGGTAGTTTGGCAAACCCTCATTGATTAATTCCAGACATTATTTGGTGGCATCCATTGTGACAAATCAACAAAAATTGACGTGTTTTTGTCTCTGTATTTAGTGACATTCAGTGTGATGTGCTATAATGTACTCTGTGACAAGTATTGTACACGCCAAATCTATGGCTACTGTCCATCATGGGCGCTTAATTGGGAATACAGAAAAACAGCAATCTTAAAGGAAATTCTGCATTATGGGGCTGATATTCTAAGCTTACAGGTATTGTTTATAGTTTAATTATTGCTATAGAATGTATCTGTGCAGGAGTTTCAAAAACTTTTGAAGTAGATGTCAGAGTTAACTAATATAAGGGGTTGTGTGAGGCAGTTCTTATAACCACTCCACAAAAAGCTGATACAGAGAAGTTAAGCTTTTATGTCTTAGCAGGGCTGAAAATAATGGACGGCAGGTCACTGGTCATGATGACTGATAAGCTCGGGCAACCCCCGATTCTGGCCAGTGTAATAATTAAAACAATAATTTTTTTGCTCAAACTATGCTAGCAACAGATCGTTTGTAGTGCATTGATGTTCAGGTTTTTGGCAGGTTGATGAAAAAATTAATGTATTTACAGCATTATAGCTTACATTGTAAGCCAGAAATATCATCACAGCCTTATAGAACAAGATGTACTAAGTGGAAAACTGCATGGAAAATATAATGTTTGTATCCAAAAGTGAGCAGACTAAATGACTGGCAAAATGAAAGTGTGACCAGTCAAGTGTTTATCAGGCCAGACATTTATCATTGACTGGCCCTTACTTTCAGCTCCCCTTAGTATTTTTCAGTTTTCCTCAGGCAAAAGTTATTTGCCTGAGGTTGCAGACCTTATCACTGGTAATTGCAGTGTGGGATGCTGCTGTCATGCCACAGGCTTTTGATCCCTGCCCAGGTTCAGAAGGGCTGGTTCAGAAGCCGAACTTTTCATAAGCTGAACTAAATAGGTCATTGAATTAAGTAAATGAAAAGTTTGACATCTGAATCAATTAGGAACACCTATTTCAATTTGAATTGGCTCAGTGGTTCTTCCCGGTTAGCCTGGCCGGGAATTTCAGCATAGGAGTGACTTTGGAACAACTTTGATTCAGGTGCCAAACTTTTCATGTGCCCAACCTAATGCTTAAATTATCATAACGTATTTTGCAAGCAGTTTGACCGAAATAAGAATTTTTCTCCCTTTGCATCTAGTTCGGCTGGAAGTACGATCAGTGTTTGAATCAATTCAGCCAGTCCAAATAATTTGGTTCGGCCTCATCTGAACCAAGCCTAACTCAGAGAACATTTTATGAACTGCCTTTACTTATAGAAGACCAGATAGAAACATTGGTCCCATCCCGAGATAAAAGACAAGGTCATTAGTCAGTACAGGGTATATGTTGTGGATAAAATTTGGTCTCATGTTAAAGCTGAATTTCTTTTCTCTCCTAAACAATACAATACAATTATTTATTTAACTACATTATTGTCTAAGAGCACAAGTGCTCGTTCAAAATACGAACGTAGGAAATAAAGGAAAGCTGAATCAAACAAGTTTTAGTACTGGTTTAGTATGAGGACAGATTTTAGTTGCCACTGACATCATATTAATTATCACTTTAGTTGACTCTTAAAGGCATTTTGTTTGTTGTCACTTACAATTACAAGTGTGGTGTTTTTTTTTATTTCAGGAAATTGAGACTGAACAGTTTTTCAACTTCTTTCTTCCTGAGTTGCAACAGCATGGCTATGATGGAATTTTTAGTCCAAAGTCTAGGGCTAGAACCATGACAGAAGAAGATAGGAAATATGTGGATGGTTGTGCGATTTTTTATAGAACGTCTAAGTAAGTGCCTATTTCTATTTATTTGTAGCTATTTCTTAGAGTTAATGCATTGTTGTAAGTTAAAACAAATTTTTCTCTTTAACTCGTTTTAGTATTATTATTCAGTGGAGATTGTCACTGAGTGTAAAAAAACTTGTATAATAAAATTGTCCTTGTCAATGTTTTATTTTCTGGATCAAGGTGTACATGTACCTGTTATGGTTAAATTTTATCCATGGTTGAAATTTTTATTTCCTTTTGAATCAAAGTTATTTTCACATACATGTATTACTCTCCCCAGAAACAAAGGAAATTAAAAATTTGAACCAAGGATAATTGAACCATGAACCAAATACTGCGTGCGTATAAGCTATTAGTATCCCTATGTTATTACCTACCCCTCCCCTAACCCAACATTTTGCCCTAAGTGAGAAGGAAGTGTTAATGTTGACTTAGGGAAGGGGTAGGTGGGCAGTTTCCCAGAAACATAATTTGATCCTCGTTTTTTAAGGAAGCCTTTCTTTAGGTTTTAGTATGAAATATGATGAGCCACGGACCGTGTGGATCATTGTCCACTTTAAAGATTGTGTACTATGATGTAACTCAATTTGTATGAAGCTAACAGAGCTATCACTAAAATTTTAACTTGCTGGCTAGATGCATTTTATTAGGCAGGGATTTGAGCAGTTAGGAAGTTCTGTTGGTTTTATTTTCCTTTTGTCTCTGATGGAAGGGTCTGAGGGTCGTTCCTATACATATAGTGGGCCTAGGGGATGTCCTCTGCCCTCATGCCTCGGTGACGGTGAAGGTTAACCTTGGGCCAGTTCTTTTATCACTTTTGCCCCTTCTTACATGCTTTCTGCATTGCATCCATTGAATTTGCAGGGACAAATTTTGTCTGTCTTTACTGTGGCTTTGCATTGTACTTGTGTGTCAGTATATACTGTTTGTCGTGGGTCGTTGCTCTTTTAAGTGAGTCTTGACAGATTATACATGAATTGCCAATGAATTCATTGATGTTGCATGTGCTTGCTTGTCCCTTTAGGTTCAGCTTTGTCAAAGAATACCTTATTGAATTCAATCAACTGGCTATGGCAAATGCCTCGGGGGCCGACGACATGCTCAATAGAGTCATGACAAAAGATAACATTGGTATCGCAGCCCTACTGGAACTCAAAGAGGGGTACTCTAATTACGGCAGTCATATAAACATGCCACGGCAGCAAGTGTTAGTTTCTAATGTGCACATTCATTGGGATCCTGAGTTTAAAGATGTGAAGTTGATTCAAACTGTGATGCTTATGCATGAGCTGATGAACATCATGCAGGAGATAAATCCTGGATTCATGGTTCAGGGAGGTAAGATGGAGGATTACTCAGTTTATACAACTACATGGGAAATTTCTGCAATTTGATGGGCTTAGAGCAGTGGTATTTCAGCTTAATTTGAAATACCTACATGTGAAAATTACAAACCTTTCGGGACTGGTCAAAAAGTATGGGGGGGTGTTGGGCCAGAGCATTTGGAAAAGTGGTTGATAAAAAACACATGACCCAACCCCTCCCTTCGGCACAAAAATGACTGACCCACCCCTAAAGCAAGGTTGGAAATTGCATGACCCACCCCCTACTTAAAACATGGATGTTCGGTTTCCTCTTAATAATCCAAGAAAACCTTGTTCTGTGCTTGACAAAATTTGTTGATACACTGCTACAACCAATATCAAAATCACAGAAATCATGAATTATGAGTCTTGACACAAATATATAGCAAAACGAGGGTATATTGAAATTATCTGTCACAAAGCATATGAAAATTTCAACAAAGACAACCCATTCAGTTCATTCCTACACATTACTTGCCGGAAATGCTTAGATTAATCCTCAAAGAAAATTTCTTCCACTTCAGTGGAAAGCACTACCTACAAAACCATGGAACTGTGGTGGGCACAAAGACAGCAGTTTTGATTTCTTTGCCAATATTTTCATGTCATATATTGAAACAACAACTCTAAGCAAAACTGTCTTTAGAACAACAGTTTGGAAATGCCACATACACAATATCTTTTCCCTATGGGACATGAGTAAACCAGACATCGAAGCCTTCATTGAAAAAGCAAGCTTACATCACCCAGCTATTGAATTCACGGCCGAAACATTCGACACTGAGACTGCGGTTTTAGACACGGTTGTATACAAAGGCACAAGATTTAAGGAAAAATCTATCCTTGATGCAAAGACACATTTTAAACAAACGGGAACCTTCTTGCACACACATTTCACCTTGTGTCACCCTCCAAGTGTTAAAAAAGAATTTGTCAAAGGAGAAGCCTTAAGAATCCTACGAAAAAACTCCTCAGAAACAACCTTTAAGGAAAATAATTTAAATTAAAAAAAAAAACGCTTGACGGACGGAGGCTACCCACAAAAAAAAAATGAAAAATTTTTTGGGGATAAAAGTATGCCTATATCTACCGTTTAAATACTAAGATATGTTTAACAATGCTATGTTTAAGTGATTTTGAACTATATTCTCGTTGTGTGCCCCCTATCTTTGATAGAAAACCTACTATCAGAAATAAAAGTCACAAAAGGGAGTCTAAACTCCTAAAACAAAACAACAAGGAGGAAAAAGAAATATTGCCATTCGTGACCCAATACCAGCCCTCAGTGTCTACTATAAAGGAAGCTTGAATGAAAAAATGGAATCTTATACAAAACCAACTATAACTGTAATAAATTTTTAAAGAACCACCAATCATTTCCTTTTAAAAAAGGAAAATCGTTAAAGAACATGCTCGTTAGAGCCGAAAAAAAAAAAGGTTAACAGAGGGTTCCACGCCCGTATCGATGTGCGGCCTGTCAACCTTTGTATTTTCTCGCAGAGCAGGTTTGTGAGTATTTTAGCAATAATTCCAGCTGGTTGTGTTTTATATAACAAGTGTAGTCAACTGTCTCGTTAGTAGTTAGTAAAAGATAGGGTGACCCACCCCCTAAGAGTAGCTGAAAATTGCACGACCCACCCCTTGCACAAGGCTCAAAACTTCATGACCCACCCCCCTATACTTTTTGACCAGTCCCTTAGTGTGTATTAGTATAAACAAATAATAGCAAGATTTGTACGTTGTATTTGGTGTAAATACCACTCGTGACATTTCAAAATTGTCTCAAATCTCACTCGCCTAACGGCTCGTGAAATTACGTATAACAATTTCGAAGTATCACTCGTGGTATTTGTGCCAAATATCACTACAAATCATGCTATTACCTATACTTATACTACTACATGAGAAATTTCTGCGATTTGATTGGCTTAGAGCAGTGGTATTTCAGCTTAATTTGAAATACCTTCATGTGAAAATTACAAACCCTTTGCGTGTATTAGTATAAACATATAATAGCATGATTTGTACGTGTTATTTGGCATAAATACCACTCGTGATATTTCAAAATTGTCTCAAATTTCACTCGCCTAACGGCTCGTGAAATTACGTTTAACAATTTCGAAATATCACTCGTGGTATTTATACCAAATATCACTACGAATCATGCTATTGCCTATACATATACAGTAAAACCCGCAACTTAGAACCTGGTTTTTAAGAACCAGTTAGGTTACAATTTGCTAGTTAGGCAACCATTTTCATAATTTCATTTTCATAGGGGAACTAAGGGCCCCCTTTTGATACAGTCGGTTACTCTATTCAAACCCGCTGGATACTTCAATTTTTATTGAAACCCCTGCTATAGGGAATATTGTTCTGTAAACAAAACCAAACAAGCTGTGTTTTAATTTTCAATTTAAGGTAAAAATGGCACGGCACCAAGCAAGTCAATTCCGTTGGTGTTTTGTGGCGATCTCAATTCACTACCGAACTCAGGAGCAGTAGAATTCCTGGACAATGGTAGAGTAAGAAGTGATCATGGTGACTTCCTTGACATGAAGTACGAAGGATTTCTCTCCCGCCTTAGCAACGGTAAAAACGGAGAGAAGAGCGGCGACCTGACGCATTGCTTCAAACTCCAAAGAGCGTATTCCGAGGGGCAGATGAAGTATAGCAACCTCACATATTCATTCACAGGAGTCATAGATTATATTTATTTCACCTCCGATCTTCTGGTTCCCGTTGGAGTACTGGGCTCAGTGAGTCAGCAGTACGTCAAAGACAACAAGATCATTGGCTGGCCACACCCTCACTTTCCGTCCGATCACCAGTCACTGCTTGTAGAATTTGAAGCGCTCAGTTTCAGCAATGGAGTACCCATCTATGGTTATCTGCCAAATTCTCACCACCACCCAAGGTAGTGTGTATGGTATTAGGTCGTTTCGCCCGAAATCAGTTCACCCAAACTTGAGTCGATTCGCCCGACGTGTTTTTGTCCTCCTTTGGCCTAAAAAGGGATAAGCATGAAAAGACAAAGATTGCACGTGTGGAATGCAAGCTTAACTTAAGTATCTCTCTAAAAGGCATATTCATGGTAATGTGGAGTGTTGTATGTTATTGAGCGAGTCGACGTAAGTCTGGGCGAAACGCTATCAGGCGAAACGACCGCCATTCGTGTGTATAACAGCCAGTTTATCAATATTATATTATTGTATATTTGTAGCTAAGATGTAAAAAGGCTGACTTGATGCAAGGCATTTTTAAGATTCCATCTAGTCACAAAACGTGTTTTGTATTCAGTATCATAAACCAGTCAGGTCATTGCCGGGAGACTTTTGTTCTCTTTCAGTTTTATAAAGTCGTTTCGAAAGCAAGCTACGTAGATGTTTTGACTATCGGTTCTTCAGAAGGAAGCGATTTTTATCGTGTGTCATATTATGTTTGTATTACTAATTTTTTAAATTTACAGTGTACGTGTTATTAAGTGGTTTTGCCAAAAACCAAACCCAACGTAATTCTGTCTGGCCAGAGACTTTCAAAAAGTGTGACAATCGCATACAGTTGTACATTTTAAGACGTCAAAAATTCAGTAGTGCAAAGCCCTCGTGAAGCAAAGCCCTCGTGATGGTCGTCTAATTTCTTTCGTTTTCTGGTATCCACGGCCGCAAAACTGTACTGCTTTGACTGGTATTTTAACTATATTGTTTTGTAAAATAAGTTAGGGGAAATATGAGTTTAGCGGTCTTACAAAAAATAGGTCTGTGACCAATCGGAACGCCGCTTAGTGACTGTCATTTCGTAACTGACATAACGTGGTTGCGATAACCAGTTTAACCTCTTTGCACAACTGTTTTTTTTATCGTCATATTGACTGTAGATTTTATTATTCCACATACCCCGTAGTTAGTGTGTTGTTAAAGTTGCAGTGTCTATTTATGTCAGTCTTGTTCCCAGGTTCCCTCATGTTCCCAGGCATGGTAGAAGAGAGAGCCCGGGAACGAGGTTATATGTTAACTAGTGTTCAGTAATTCGTATTAATAATCCGCCTGCGTTGCTGTTGAGATCAGAGTGGGTTAGTGCATTTTGGTGGCCGAGCCGTCCCGGGGGATTTTCCCGTGCAGCATTGACTCGTCCCAATTCTTCTCGCGGCTTTACAGGCTAAACAAAACTACAAAAGCATCCGTGAAATAAATCAGTCGCGCTACACCAATCTCGCCATTGACGTGGGCTGATTAATAATAGCAAGCTTAAGCAAAGACGTTTTTAAGTGATACACGTCAACGTGAAGTGGACCTCTTTTATTCTTGGGCAATGCTTTTGCCCAAATTTTCTGGCAGATCTTCCCTATGAGAATAAAGGCACTTTTTAGCAAGAAAAATTTTGTAGCATCTAGGCATGTAAATCAAAATGGATAAAATGCATCACTTCCGGTTGACGTTCATGACTCAAAACGCTTTTGCTTAAGCTACCGAATAACTCTGTGTAGATATGTAAGTGAACTGTACATTACTTACCGTATATTTGAAATCTTAAACAACTGGCCTTTTTGGTGTAAAAAAAATGCAGTGGAACCTCTTCCCCGTTAAATGACCTACGATCATTTGACAATAGATCATTTAAGTTCATTACATTTTTTTTTACGGTAGTGGGAAGGCAAACAAGAGTACAGGAGTGCTTAAGGCACCGCAAGCTTTAAATTGGCAGGCATGAACTGGTCACCTCTATTTTGGAGAATTTTATCCTTTAGTGCGAAAAGTCGGGGCGGGTTCTCTCAAGTTTGTCCGAAAGTAATCTGTTGAAATCTTCTCGAGTTCTGCTCGGATAAATTTGTGTTCCCTCGCAGTTTTAATTGTTGAGTGCGAGGTTCCACTGTATCATCCCTTCCTTAACAGACCGCATCTTCGTGACACCTACCTCTATTATATACTTTAGCATGAAAATTCTACTTGCATACAATTCAAGTTTTTGGTACTATCCCAGTAGCAAATATGCATGCTTGTACAGTGCTTTGTTTACTGCAAGACAAAAATTCTTTCTATGTATATGTGCTTTCGAATCACTTCTTTAACAGTAACAAAATGATACACGCTGTATCCTTTCACTCCTTAATGTGGTCAAAGTGAAAATTCGCGAAAATTTTGTAAAATATGGTAAAGCAAATAACTCCTGTGTAAAAGAACCGCCCTAGAGGTCTCGTTTGAAAGGTAACAGCGTAGATTTCGCACCAAGACTGCTGGTTAGAAGGACAATATTGAGAGCTATTTGAGGATGCTCTTGTCGAAGACTGAGTCGGTGTTTTGGACCCGGTTTCCCATAAAACTCTCTGATAGTCATTCAAAGAATCACTGGCGAACCCAAAAAACTCCCATAGTGCAGTTCGACAAAACACCGACCCAGGGTCTCGCGTAACTCAACTCTCCTCGCCGTAACACAATCTAGGAATTACTACGTTTTTATGCAGTAACAGTGTAGGTATTCGTGTACAGGACCGTTTAAAAAATGCATGTTTATGTCAAATAAGGCGGATTCTGACCTTTCTCTAATCACACCATCACTGGTGACAAGAATATTGAGCAATTGATGCCTTGTTATATCCACTAACTTTACTGAATTGTTGTCAGTTTTGAACACATCTTCAAGTTTGTCTGAAATAAAAGTACCGTGTGTGTGTGGGGTCGTATATCGTGGCGGCTTTGTGGCTAACGTGCGAAAAAGCTTTTTAAGAGGTTTTTTTTTTCACTTTTTCGTCAAATAAAAATGGCGAGGAAAAGTCAGTAATTTGCTGTGGCATTTATAGTTTAAAGATTTACAGTGTCCATTTCATTAGCCGCTCGTATTAAGCACTAGATCTAGAATTTTTGTGGTGCAAGTGTAGAATGAAAAGGCACCTAGCAATTTGCTTCGACACTGCATAGTATTATTAGTGGGTTTTGTTTTTGTAGCCGTATGTTTACCGTTTTCTGCTATTAACCCTTTTAACACTAAGATCAAAATTTGAATTCTCATTTGTTGCCCCTATTCATTTCCTGCAGAAGTAGTGGGGAGAAGTTGAAATAATATCAAGCAAATTCATCTTGCGTGATCATGTCCGTAATTCCATGACCACCCTGTTTTACAAAGTTTTGACATTACAAGGAGAAATTTGATGCTGATCAATCTTAGGGTTTAAAGGGTTAAGCCACTTCTATCTCCTCAATCATTCTCCCTTGAGATCGTGCTTTATACTTTGAATGGGAGCTTAAGCAACGCCGACGGCGACGTCAACGAGAACGGCAAAAAAACCAATCGGTTAAGATTGGCAAAACAACATTTTTTTTTACCGGCGTTGCACGACTACGACGGGAAACTGTCTAATTTCACGGTTGGTGGAGGTCGTGAACGCAAGACAACGACCCTTTCTTATCCTGAACTTTGATTTGCAGTCCTTTACAATTCAACTCCAGAAAAATTCGCCAACATTTGACGAATTGTACGAGAAGGAATAAGCGCGATAAAGTTTAAAGCAGCGCGAACACGCTTTTTAACTGACGTTTTTGTAGCCGTGGCCGTCGTTGTTGCTTAAGGTCGATAATCATTCGCAAGCCTCAGACGTTTCGTCCTCTGATTAAGTAAAATACATGTAAAGAATGGGCGGGGCTTTTCAAGGTTTTGCTACGTATCACTTGGGGGAGTGGGGGGTATTACAAGATGGGTTTAAACAGAGGAAATACGGCATTAGAGATTGTAACTCATTGTAAAACTAACAATGAACTTCCGGGAGTGTGGAAATCCTGTAAGATATTAACCTGTCTTTTTTCGTGACACTTTTTGCTTTTTACAGTTTACCATATTGCGCTTGTTTCACAAATAGTTCTCCAAGTATTCTCAGAGTTTTCTTTTTCTTAACGGATTGTTTCAAGTCTTCATACCTCCTGTAGAATGAGTAGTTTTAGTTAAAAAATGGCTGTAAGGTGATTTAGTGTGTTAACATTGTTTTACCAAGAGCTGAGACTGAGATAAGCGCCCCACATGTATTGTAACACGTAGATATAAACTAATCTTTTGTTTCGTGTAGGAAAAGTGTAGTATTTAATTTATTATGGTAGTTTTTAAAAGAAATGTTACTTTTTATTGATTCTTCATTTGCAACACCCTCGAAAGAAAAGAAACTTTTACAGTAAGGACAACAGAAATAAAGGATGTGTTCTGTTGACCTCATCTCGGAATCAAGTGTTGTGAAATTAATAGACAACTTTATTTGGGATTGGTGGCCCATTCAGCAACGAGAATCCTGCTCGAAACGTTTGGGACACTTCCATCACTTTTTCTTTCTTTTCTTTTTTTTTTATTACTAAATTGACGCATTCATATCTCTGGTCTCATTTGGGGTTTATTTAGTGACAATCGAATCATAACCAACGACTCCGAAAGGTCGGTTCATGTTAAGAGCTTGTTTTCTACCCCGAATGAGAGGTACTTTCTTTATCCACCAGCTAGAGGACATGCAAGTAGCCGTGATTAGAGCTGGTCTACCCGAACAAGACAAACGAAGACGCGAGGAGATGCGCTTAATTCATAATTTTGGCACCCTCACGCCGGGTGGACTTAATCAAGATTTCTATCTCACGTGACTTGCGCCCGTGCAAGCTCGCCTGTTTTACGCGCGCATTTTCAAATTTTCAAATTTTCCGCTATAACGAACTCGCATATTTTCCCTCATGAAGGCAGCATTGCCGAAACGTCGGAGTTTTATTTGCAATTCAGTATTAGCGTTTAACTTACCACCTTCCCACTTTTAACACACACAAACGCTACGCAGGAACCCCCTTTGTTTGTATCTAATTTTTGGTTCTATCCTTATCCCCGTTCCTCTTAGCACTTCTCCTCCCCATCCCCAACCCCCCTCTCTCGATAGTGTGCGATTGTTTTTGTGTTTTGTGTT